TGACCTGCAGGCTCTGTCACCTTTCCATGAACGTCTGCTAAATTAAATATTTAAGCACACATATCTCAATCAAAAATTAAGTGTCTGTTAAAACGTATCATTAGAACTGCAACCTTGTCAGCTTTCTCTTGATTACTGGTGTCAAAATTAGCACATATAACTTCCCTGACATTTAATTATTTACTGTGGTAATAACACTTATGTTAAGAACATCAAACAGATCATTTGGACCCCAAACTAGGTTCAAAACACTTTTGACCAGTTTCACACTACATATGAGCCCAAATTCCTTTTGAATCTTATGCATAATCAACTGGAAGACCAGAGTTTCCCATTCAACTTGATTTTCCAAAGGCATATCTCACCTTAGATTTGTAAATAAGAACTAACAATACTCTGTCTCTGAGACATCGTGTTACATGACATTTTATTGTGTGTATGTACAGGAAAAAGCTGTTCATTAGGAAAATACAAAACAGCAGCTCTGAAAACCACTTAGGGCTAATAATAGCATAATTATGCACCCTCATTGCTTATAAAAATCTTGTCACGTAACACTGAGGAAACAAGATGGGGATGATACAGAAGCTCTGTTCTACCTAAATGTGTGAAAAGTGAATGCTCCAGTGCACCACAGCAACCTAACCTCCGACTCCCAGCCCTAATGTGCTACTCCTCTACTGCCTTCAGTGTCTAAATATTTTGTTTAGCTATTGCTAGCATCTGTTTAGCAGGCAATGCAGACTTGTGGTAAATTCAATTGTTCTCGGAAATAACACTATGTTTATGTTTTATATAATTTCCCTTGCAAGTAGTTTTTTTCAAAAAGGAAAGTTTTCTCTTTCATCTGTAATTTTGAGTACAACAATAGCAGGCAATATTCAAAGACAATACCACTACCAAATAGCACAAAAAGCAAATACTACTACCACTACCAAATAGCAGACAGTCCATGCTTTCTATTGCATTGCAACAGCAATGCCGTTTTCCTAGGGATATGAGTTAGAAACTAAACTGTCTTCACTTTGCTTTCTCAGCCACCCTGATTAATTTCAATGCTTGCAGGGATCTCTCCTATACAGAAACACTACCAACTACTACCAAACAGAAAGACTTTTACTTTTTCAGTGTCTTTCTGAAAGACACCATCTTGGAAAAACTTTTAATTCCAAACAGTGCCTGATACTCTTTCTGCTTTCCCTTGCAATCAATAAGGCTATAATAAAAAAATTTTAAAAACCACCGACCCACACCTTTGATCTTTGTCTTCCTGAAGATCTAACCCTTGTATTTTACCCCATGTTTCCTCTACTGACACACATCTGCTCACTCTTGGGAGCATTATCTTCAGTAGCTGTGAAACTACTGGCATTTTAGCTGAGATTTGAAAGGAATACCTGCAGTGAGCGAAGCTCTTTGCAACTTCAAATTCACACACACTTATAATACATTCAATTACCTGTTTCCATAGCTGGTGTCAGGTCTCTTTTTTATCCAATACTCTGTTTCAGGATAATTAGCAGGAGCCAGACTGCAAGCAAATTACAGCATATTGTACTTCTATGCAGTATGACTCTACCCAGAGAAGAGATTTTCCTTTAAGTTGGCAATTAAAGATTCAGGTCTAGCCTGTGTATGTTACTGTAATAGCTGTTTAACTTACATAGTAAGGAGTTAATATTAAGAACTTATATCCCCAGTTCCCAAGAACCAGGAATCACAGGAGCAGCATGTAACTGCACTGCTTAAACACACAAAGACAAAACAGTCTAAAAAGAGCCTGCCCTGCACAAATCAGTATTTTAGTGTCATTTACCATCGTCTTTAAACCAAAAGTTATGGCTCCTCACAGAAAACAGACTGAGATTTTAGTGCTGAGAAGCACTATGTTTTAGAGCTGCAGATAGTTGGCTGCCAAAACATGAAGTCTGAAACTGGCGGTTTCTGTGCTGTATAATCAGAGGGCAGAGAAAAAGCTGGTTAAAAGGCAGTTCTACTAAATACTTATTTTACACTGCATCTCAGCTGAATTAACTTAGAAGTTATTATCAGAAACAACAAAAGTTAACAAGGAGTAAAACTTCAGAGCAGTTATTAAAGAAAAACAAAACAAAAATGCCTAATATAGCACCAAGCCTCTGAGCACCCCAGCTCAGTAAAATGCCCAAGACAGCACAAATGCACAATTCACAACAAAGTGAAATTGCTACTGTTTCAGAACCTACACAGAATCACTGACTGGCCACAGATGAGGAAGCACATGGAAGTATAAATGAAACAAGCCCAACGACACACCCTCCTTTGTTCATAGCAGGAATATTTACACTACAAAGCGTTGAGGCAAATCGCCTTTAGTTTCAGGCACTGCTGATTGGCCGCTGCGTTTAATACACTCACGCCTGGTATAGTTGGAGTTTCGACTGTCACACAGCAGTTCTAGATTGCAGGGCACGCAGCAAGCTAGAAAACCATAGAAAACAATTATTTAATATAATTATCCTAACTGAAATGATCCTCCACAAGACACATTTGTTGTGAACAGGGCAGATGTGGATTTGTTTTCACTCCGCTGTAATTCAGTGAAAGCTGAAAATCAGCTCCCCTCACAGCCAACTTTCAGCGCAGCTGCCTCCTACAAGCAGCAAATGGCACAAAGAAAGTTATTCTCGAGCACATGCGGGTGAACAACTGGTACAGGAGTTCGGACATAGTTACTTTTAAGTCACCACTTGACTCTCGTTCAGCTGGCAGTTCATTGGCTTCGGTGGTTTTCTACAGGCAGCCATCCATGCCACAGAAAGAACCTGAAACACCTGATAATAACTGGCTCTTTGCTAGCAGTCTCAGCGGAGCCTGAGGGCTAGGAGAGGGCCCCGGAGCCCCAGGGCTGAGCACAGCCTGGGGGACGCGCTCTCTCCCAGCCCTCTGCTGCCAGCCTGGCACTTTCCACCACATACCTGAAGTATTACAAAGAGCAGAGGAGAGAGCAGGTACAGAGAGAGCAGCGGTGCCAAAAAGTCACGTTAAAGGGTTCAGCCATCGAAATACTCCGTGCTCCCGACTAGGGTGGCACTGTAGCCTCCCACATGGCCAGTAAACGGGGGCTTCAAGGAGGCCCCAAGTGTCCGACCTACAGACGTGACTCCCTCAAGCACACACCCGCACACAGGCGCTCCAGCCCCGCTCTGACTGCCGCCCCTCACGCCGCCACACCTCACTCCAACCTCACAATGGGATCAAGGGCATCTCCCCGGGCTTCCCCCGGGCTCCCCCAGCACTCCCGGCTCCGCTGCGTCCCGCAGCCCCTGTCGCCACCCACGCGCCACCCCCTCCCCAGCAGAAAGAGCAGAGAGCCTCCAAAAACGCACACACCCCTCCGCCGGGAATGGAACAGTCCGTGCACCCCAGTACT